CAAAACGTACCTAGGAGCAGATTACGAGAGGTTACGCGCAGATACGAAGCGATAATTTGTGTCTGTACTGTACTTGTATGCTTTATCCTAAAAAAAAAAAAAAAAAAAAAATTGGTCTACAGTTGTATGTTTTCTTTCATATCTTCTATGTACACATACATTCTTAAATTCACATCATGGAACAAACTTTACTTTTGAATAGGCACTCCACAACACAATAACACAAAGTTTTGGTCAACATGTTCTGACATCTTATGTCTGCTACAAATTGTGATCTATCTAGACAGGGAGAGGCATAAAAATAAAGATACTACTCAGCTAGCTATTGAAGTTAGTAGTTTAGTAATTACTGTAAAAGCTATAAATTAACATAGTTTAAGATGGAGTGGTGGTGCCAGCGGGGGGGCCAGGGAGAAATAGCACAATTTGTCGGGAGGGAAAACAAAATTACATGTATTTTCCACAAAATTAGTAGACTTTGAAACCCGAAATTGTCAACATTTTTGGGGGCTTCGCTCCCTGGACCACTTTCGAAACCTTTTAATCGAAGCTCGACCACGCCCACTTTGCTTTTGTCGGGGAAAAGTTAACTTTAAGATAAAATCAAAACAGAAGTAATTTTCGTCTGAACTGTTATAGTATACTGTTGCAAGTGTGAAAATTAGGATTTCTGACTTGTAACTAAACAAATAAACAAGCTTATATTAACAAAATACCTTGAGTCATGAAGAATACACCTGATATCCAAAGTTGCCATAAATTAAACCTTTCAAGTCTTAAAATTCGAAATACTAAGAGCAGCTTTTTTTCTCTTTAGTCTCCTCAAGTGGAAGCAGTGACTGTTGAAGTTGTATTAACACTTGAAACACTTGTACTTCAAACATGTGGGAAATGGGCTCAACACGTGTTATGTGACGTGCATCACGCACATGATTGTGACGTCCCTTAAACACATGATATTTCTGTCTAGTTTCATTTTTTGTCATTTATTGTATTACAGTACAGGCTGACGCACCTCAATAATGAAAGAATAAAATTACTTAAAAAAAAAAAAACACTAAAAATGGAACGTTAATAACAAGATATTGTATACCTACTGTATAAAACTAAATGACATACTCAAAACAGATGTAAAATGTCTGCAGTCAAGTGAAAACAATTCTTTTAAACTAGTACTTTAAGTGTCAAAAAAGGGCTTGATAAATGTGCAGTAACTAAATTGCCTGTTGTAAGGAAAAGTTTAATCGTTATTTACATGTCACATTTTCTTAAGTGGGGGGAGCTAACTGGGTTATTAAAAAAAAGGTTTTAAAATAGTATAATTCTATGATATATTATGCAAGCTATTAATTAGCAAAAATAAAGAAATATCTTTTTTCAATATTGCTTTACTGATAAGTCAAAATATTTAAGATGATGCCAGTGCATTTTAATTACAATGGTGCTCCTAAGCAAAGAAAATAATGTCTAAAAAAATAACCTGCTTAAGAATGCACTAATTTAGAAAAAGTTTATTTTTAAACAAGGTTAAGTGACGCAGCTTACGTCTGTTTCCATGGCAATCGGTCACATGCATAATCATGTGCATATTGCCGGAAGGATGTAGTGTACCATAAAAGGAAACACAAAGACCCGGATGACAACAACTTTCATGTTTCAATTTACAAACAAAGTTTGAAATATTGTAGAATAAACAAAAAGTTATGAAGTTGGTCTTACCATCACCATGTACAATTTCAACGGTGGGATCTTTCTCAAGGTCCGAGTCTGATTTATCGGGTGTGCTGAAAGTATAATAAAAAAAAATAATTTAACTTTATTGTTAGAAATTTCAGATTTTATTGAATTCTCATTGCAGTGTTCTCCCAATTGAAAAATTTTTACTGGTAAATTTATCAATAAATATTCAGCTATGCACATAGTGAAGGCATTATCCCTTTTGAGTGGGTGTTTATTAACTTGAAAAAACAACACATATACAGTAGTCAAAGTCTATAGTAGGTAAAGTTGGGAATGATGTTAATTTATTGAAAGAAGGCCAACCTGGACTACCTAGGCCTACACAGTAATCAGGGGTTTTATTATTTTACAGTTTCAAAATTTTTACTGGTTGGCTAGTTATCTTTACCGGTAAAACTGACAGCTAAAAGGGCTTCAGAAGAACACTGCAATATGTGAAACTAAATCTAAGCACATACTATCACTGTTTATTGTCTGTAAATTTCACTTTAATCAGACAAAATATGAACTTACTGTAGATAACCTAGTCACTCAGTATGTATCTCATTACCAAAATAAATATTGCCTATTAATATTAGATGGCGTCAAGTGTAATTGATTGCACATGCTTTGCTTTCAACCACAAAAAAAAAATCAATTTTACGTGGATATATGTCGATATAATAACCAAATCTGGTACAGTATGTATTTTGAAAATATATTTATAGTATGCAAGTGTCAGAATAGTTATTTTCTGAAAATAAAGTGTGTTTTTAGGTGATTTTAATCACCACCAGTATTGACGCCGACACCTCGATCAAGGCGATCATGTTACAAAAACAACGATCAAATTATAAATTGCTAATTACCCTAAACTTAAAAATTAATTATAAATGGAAGAAGAAATATTTTCTATAAATGTTTTTTGATATTTTCTCACATATTTTTTTAACTTACATGCACACTAAACCACGCATACGATTTTTAAATAATTATTGTTAATTAATTGCATAATTAATTATGATCATCCCTGGTGACCTCGGCCCACTCGGCCCGCATTAATGCAGGCCTAGGGGCCAATCAGTTAACACCCCTCAATTGATCATTGAGCCCCCACTCCACCTTCGCGCCCCCCCCCATCAGCACCCCCCCCTTTAAGACTTCTAAATACGCCACTGTATTTGGGAGCCAAAATTGTAATAATACCCTTCAAGAGATGAACACTATGTTTTGATGGATAAAATAAAAAGTTATTAACAAAGAAATTACTCTTGTCAAAGAAACTTGTAACAAGTGCTAAAATCACACAATCACTGACCGTTGACCATTCCCTATACTACTGTATGCAAGAGAGTACCATGGCTTCAACCTTGCAAAAAATGTTTCAAATTTCAAACTACCAAAAACGGTAACACTATAATAAACAAGTTTCCGAAGATGGTAATTCGTAAATTGAGACATTAAAATGGTAAACTGTACAATAAATGGTAAAAAGTGATTCAAACACAGCCTAGATTGGGGAAAAAATCAAAACATTACTTGCAGAAACGACTGCCTGTTTGTTCTTACCTGAAGTAGAAATGGATCGGTTTTGTCAGGATACGAACCATTGTATTAATGAATTTAAAAACTATTAAATTTACCAAAATAAATAAATATAATGGTCCGTTCAATGAGCCTGAAAAATATCCAAGTTGGGTTACAGTATCGCACTTGTGCCCGCACAAGGTTGTTACAGGATCCTGTTAAAAAACTTCAACATCAATTTGAAAATCGTTGTCCAACTTTGGTACGAATGATCCGAGACCAGCTCGAATCAAATGCAACATAAAGATGCAAGTCCTCCGTGTCGGCTAGTAATGCGTAGACTTACCTGTCGTCTAGGATGCGTCGCATTTTTATGGCCAAGAAAGAATGTGATTGTAAATGGATACTAATGAAGCGTACCACCCTTATACTATTCCCTCGTTTAGAATCACTTCCCTAAGAATTGATGTTTCTACCGAAAAAATAATGACAATACACATTCACCTCTTACATCGCTCCCTAAATCGGCAACGTCGATGACTACTTGCGCTAAAAATTACCTCATCCAGGTAAGTTTTCATCCCTCGGAGACAGGTCATCAAGGTGTGACTATGTTGAGATCATTCGAAGACGGAAAGTGGTAGAAATTAGTAAACAAATTTACTATTCAACTTGGAATTGATAATGACTATCGCCCTTATTAAGTTAATTATAAGAAACACCATCCTGGCAGGAAAGGTGAATCATTATGCTTAAAACATGTGGTGTAGAAACCGATAAAAAAAAAGTCAAGCCACCACTTGAACTTAGCAGAATGCCTGGAAACGACGGGAGTGTTTCTAATGAATGTGACTCAACATTAGAAGCTAATCAATTAACTTCCTCGGCAAAGGTACCAACACCGAGACGCTTCGGTGTGATTTCCTTGCAAGCAATTTTAATCCTTAATTAAATGCAAGGATCATTCTTAGCAAATAAACTTAAATTAACAACAATTTTGTTGTTTCTCTTTGTTGTACAGTATTTAGATTCTGAAATAGAGTTCAAATATCAAAAGTATTATATCTGGCTATGAATTCTGGTAAATTAATGCCTACTGTATCAACAGACTGCATACATTTTTAAGAAATGGATAGAATGACCATCTACTGTCACACAATAAAAATACACAGCAGATAATAACTATTACCTGGATGTCAAGAAAACACATCGGAAGGGCAGGTACAACAATAGATGGTGGGCAGATGAATGCTAAGAATACAAGACTTGTTATGAAAATCCATAACAGTCCTGTCAGGCCCTGCAATGGATTGAAATATTCTACAGAACATAGAAACTAATGTCAATTATAATATTAAATGAAAATTATATTAAACACAAAATTAATTACAGTACTAATATTTAATTAGTATGGTCACCCATTTGAATAGAAAAGCAAAATGTATTGCACTATACTGTAAAAAGGTATCCTAAAGTCAACCTTTTAAAGAAAGAATACAGTACATACAACATGTCGTCAATTAATGTGTATACTATACTGAAAACCGATATTGAGGTTAAGAGATAAACACATGATTGATAATTACGATTCAACTATCAGCCATAATATTGTACATGTTACGATTGAATCGTTATCACTTCACTACCTTTTGGAATCATAAATGTAAAGCATGCTCCCTCTGGAATATGGCTCAAGGAATTACTGTTACCGTACCAGTCAGTAGAGCATTGCATCACTGACGCTGTTGGGATAGTGAGAACGTGAACAATCATCAATTAGCTAATTAATAACCACTATTAATTACTCATAGGAGTAATTATTTACTGATTGGTAAACAATTGTAGGTAGATTTGTCATAGGCTAGCACAAGGCCGTTGCTAGATTCCTCCGAACATCACAAAAAAAGAAAGTGTACTACATAATTTTCAGACAGAAATCAGCATAACAAAAATATAGCAATATTCTTCATCTTTCGCTTACTTTATAAAATTTGTATTATAATTAACAAATAATACAAGAGCAACACTAGAGTGCATACCACTGCCATATGCTTGAATTTTAAAACAAATAATAAAAGCAAGGCACTTGGCAAGACCGGCGATGCCATCAATCTCTTATGTACAAGGGTTAAGTTTTAAAGAAATTTTTTTAAAATTTCTGTGACCTTCATGTTCCCCTTTGATTTATTCTTCCCAAAATCTAATCACCTCTTCCTTAGCCCTAACTATATCTATCACTCCTCTAGATTCTATGATGATCCATTCATTACTTTTTGATTAACCCTGCTAAGGTGGGACTTCTTTTATACCATGTTTAGCGAACCTGCTGCCCACCAATAATGATTTCAAATGAAAATACAATTTTATTTTTGGCCAATTAGCACACCCACCGCCACAAAAAAAAAAGAAAATTTCAGAAAAGAATTAAGTTTTATTATTTTTATTACAACCATCGCTACTGTACCTTGAAATCTCCAAAAAAGAAATGTATATTTCTTCCTAAGGCCAAGTAAAAAAAAATAATTGGTTAGCATCCTTTTGGTATCAAATTTCATGGTAGGGAGGGAGGTTTTTTTTTTTTTTTTTTTTTCCCCGTAGAACATGAAAAACCAGCGTCGGAAGGAAAATTAGCAAAACAAAGAAGAGGAAAACAACAGACGGCAAAATTGGATACAAGAAATCATGTAATTCATCTATATCAAGCAGATAAGCTTTGCCTATATAAACTTTCCGAGATTTCACAGGGGTCCCCTGAGTTATCTCGGAACAAAAACAGACCATCGCGAGGCCTGTTTTTTTCCCGAAATCTTCCGAGTTGTTGTTGCGCATGCGTCATGTCCCTATTTTGACCTTTTCGCGGGCTGTGTTTTTTTTTCTTCTTTTTAGTTCGAACGAATGGCGGCAGGCATGGAAAAAGTATCAACATTACTACCATTTGTTAATAGGCCTAGACCTAAAATCAAAAGAAATCTCGCTAAATTTCACATGTCTGATGTAGAAAAAATCATGAGGCTTCGTAAAATACGCCGACAGCGAATCATTATGATGCTTGTCGCACTGATTGCCTCTAACAACAATGGTGAGTTACCTACCGGCCGGCGGCCCGACTGCGCCTAGCTAGCCTAGGCCTATCTTTCTCGCCAGCTCGACTACAGCAAGCGAGCTAGGAGTTGAATTCGTTTTACTCTTCGAAGGCTAAGGACCATGGAATAATTATAATCTTGTTAATTCGGTACCAGGCCTAGTTTAGTAGTTGATACGTAATTCGGACAACCTACAACTAGCCTAGGCCTACTACTAGTGCTACTCTAGGCCTGTCATTATTCTTCCGAGTTTTCCCGAGATTTCTCATGGTTTGAAAGTCCATGTGTGAAACGAACCAAAAATCTTGGAATATCAAACTTGTTACAAATTGTTAATAATTGTTAAAAGTTGTAATATTTTCTGCTAGTGTGAAATGGGTATTACAATGATTACCATATTTATTATTCTATCGCTGGAGTAAATTATCAAATCTTAAATACTTGTCTAAATATTGTTGGTTATTTATGTTTGCAATGGCAATTAATCCAATTAAAATTTACTAAATAAAAAATAGTCTTAAAAGTGCCGAGATTTGTCATTTCTTATATTGTACCATAGCAGACAAACGGAACATGAAAGCAGTTACATAAAATTGAGTTAAACACTATCAGCTGAGGTGGAAAGTACCCCCTATTGAGCTACTGTTAATAGAGCCTGTCCTGATCATTCCACTTTTCATTGTATTTTTATCCGACATTTAAATGCTAGGCACCATTGTGGGAATTTCAATGAGAACATTAAAGTAGCCGCTAAAGGTAGGCCTATTGTGTAAATTTCTAATAAATAACCCTCCTGTACTGTACATGATCAGATACATATATAATTGTATTTTTAATTTGGATAAGGCCCCATAAAAAAAATTATTAGTTTATCACCCGCTCCCTCATCACTTTTGGGAAAAATCTGATTTTTTTTTTTTTTCAATCAACATATATATTTTTATTTCAAACAGTCCTTTTCCATCTTTTTTTCACTTGAAAAGCTCAGGGTTTCTTGAAAAAATGCTTACTGGTACAACAAAAACATATTTTTTAAATATAAATTTGATTCCATTCTTATGACTTTTTATATATGTGTCTTTAACCATTGATTTACTTGTGATCATCGGTAAAATGGGGGCGGGATTAGCAAAAAAAAAAAAAAAACCTCCCTCCCTCATCAGTTTTTATTCTTTGATAGGGTGATAAACTAATAATTTTTTATGGGGCCTAATTAAATCTTTTATTCATCATGAATGAGTTACGATAATATAAAAGTTTTTAAAAATCTGACATGTTGTTAAAATAAGGCTACTGTAAGTTAAAACCATATTTTAAAAGACTTTTAAGAACATTATTAAAAAAAAAAAAGTAGTTTTGACAAATAAAATATAAATAAACCATTATATTTATAAACCCTAAGTAAAATGACCATCCCCTTTTGTTACTTAGCAAAGTTGTAAATTTCATAGCAAATTTATAAACATTCATTTTTTTTTTGTGTATCAAGTATAAAACAAACAGAAATATAATAGAAGTTATTTTGTGACAATAGTAAGCAACTACAACGCTTCAAAAAAATAAAGGATAGAGTTTGTTAAACTGAAACAGAGCAAATCCAAACTAAAGAGGGCGACATTTTCACAACATGATTTGCCAATTGATTAATTTTTTCATAGTTGCCTGGAACTACTATATACCGAGTAGTACCAGTCTTTTTATGTAGGAATGACACGCATAGAGGGCATTCTGGACTTGCAAGGTCTTTGTGAAAAATCCAAATGATAAAAGAAATAAGGGAATAAGCTCTGACAACAGTGTATAATTATTGTAACAATTTTTAGACATTATTCTGCTACATCTGACATTATTACAATGTTGATATGATGAGTCTTGGAAAACCCCTGAGTATAAATACAAACAAAACATATTTAAAAAATGAGGAAAAGCATCAAACCGCCTGATTAAACTGTTTAAATTTCTAATGACATGTGACAATGTTGTTGGGAGTAGACAGAAAACAAAGTGAGCATGTAATTTATTTAGCTATAAATTGGAGTTTATATGTAATTTTTCACCATTAAAAAAAAACCAGTAAAGCAGTACTATTATCAGAATTACATGTACTGTCAATTATTGGGCAAATAAAATTAATTGCAAGTTTCATATCCCTGCCTTCATCAAATTTACGAGCTTCATAAAAAATATTATACTATTTTCCAAAAAAAAAACAATCATTTTTCATGGAAAATAAAATAATGAAGATCTGAAAGATTGTTGTGAAAGTCTAAGGGAGGTGAAAACATAATGGCAGAACACCTAGTTTTACTTCTAATAATAATATTAATAAACAATTGTTATTATTTACATCCTGTGTAGTAGTAAATAGAAATAGTAAATACAGTCACCAAAAAAATATAGTAGTAAAGAGCAACAGTAAATAACCTCACCAAAAAATAATTTTAAATCCCTGGCAATAAATTAACAATTCATTTTATTTGGCCTAAATAAGCTCAGGCCTACACATAGTCAAAGAATATTTATATAAATTAAACTGCTTAAAATCAATTCTTTCATTATTTATAGTTTAATTAGATGGATGATTAAAATGGCAATTATTGATTGTTAATCACTCAGTATAAGAATCTAGCTTAGGCCTAAACATAGTAGTTGTTTGAGTGCTGCAGACATCATAGGCCTAGGGCCTAGGCCCTAGCTGGAGGAGGGGTAGGATTGAAGGGGTGATGAACTGAATATAAATGATGGATGATCCTGCAGCAGTATTTTGTTCCACCAAAACCATGTAGGCCTACTTGGTACTTGGTTTTTAGGCATACTACTACTAATAACTACTAACTAAGCTAGTTTGCTCTGGGTAGGCCTACACAGACAACCAGCCAGGCCCAGCAGAACAGGGTAAACAAAATGAGCAAAACAGATCGGTGTCAAAGTGCACAGCCAGCAGCAGAACAAGATGTCGTTCGACAACCATGGAAATGAAGAACCCATTCAAGTTTGAAAAAGGATATCACTAATAATTCGACTTTGTTAAGATAAAAAGTAAACTCACCCTGTATCTAAAGTGGTACCTATCAAATCCATGTGGTTGAAAGCTGTAACCGACTTCAAACGAATCAGAAATCTACAAGACGATCACGGGGCCAAACAACTGGTCATGTGAGGGAGAAAATGGACATGTGACAATAAGCTAGCAGCTAGGAGGCCTAGCGCGCTCTGTAACAGGAAAAACGGGAACGGAACGAAAGAAGACAGGGCGTGCAGTATATTATCACTACGCACATATTTATAATAATTAACATGTTTAAACTGATCCAAGCTTTCACAAATATATAGTAAACACAATACTTTTATTACATTTAAACCAAAATATAAATATTGATATTCAATTAGTATTGGAATATTGGTACTATTTTTCTGACGCGCATGGTATAATATTGATAAGCAGTAATAAGTTTAATTTCCACCAATCACCTGATATATATCACGTGAACATCACCGATTGATTCCTATATATAATTAATTTGTAAATGCCCTTTCATTTCATTTCATTTATTCGTTTCAGAGTCTTAAAATGCAAAACAGAAGATTTTGATTGACTTTTTGAGTCGAATTTCCTGTACAGCATTGGGGACAAATCAGGATACATAGGCGGTCGTTTATAAAATAATGTTTTCTGTTTGTTAATCCTTCAAACCATGGAAGAAATAATATATTATTAGGATTATAGGCCTATTGTAACTATGCTCAAACTGACAAGTTTGGTCTGTCCGCAGAACTCCCTGGTCGATCGAAATTATTAGGTCTATAATAGATTTTTTCAGTATCTGGTAATACTGTACTACAGTACAGAAACATTATTATACTTATTAACTGTAATTATAAATAATCATAATAATTAACATTTAAAATGAATGAATAAATGAATAGGCCTAGATAGATATTATTAATTTTAATTATAAATAATAATAAAAAGTATTTAAAATAAAATGAATGAATAGATAGATAGACAGTTGGATAGATAGATAGATAGATAGATAGATAGATAGATAGATAGATAGATAGATAGATAGATAGATAGATAGATAGATAGATAGATAGATAGATAGATAGATAGATAGATAGATAGATAGATAGATAGATAGATAGATAGATAGATAGATAGATAGATAGATAGATGGTGGGGGTGGCTAAGGTGTCCGACTGGAGTATGGGGGAGCTAAGATGTCCGACTGGGGGAAGGGGGGCAAGTATATATGGGTGTAACTATAGTGCGCAGTGTTATCTGAGGGAGGGGTGTCCGCTCCCCTCTTCCCAAAAGATTTTTTTTTTTTATTGGGACTTCTATATGGCCAGAAATGGCTGGGGATGGGAACATTTTAGGCCTGTTTTTTTTTTTTTTTTTTTTTGTGGTCCGACTGCCCGACGAGCTTTGGCCCTGATGGTGAGGGGGCTTAGTGCCAATTCGGCCATGTAGGTGCCGTAACCATGATAAAGCTCGCATCCGCAGCCCCCACCCCACCATAGTCAGGGGCGTAGTGGTTCCCATATGGTGGGGGTGGGGTGGGTTCGAACATTGTAATGCGGGATCAGGGAGTAACGAAGTGGCCGAAGGTCCCGAGCCAGGCCAAGGCGTCGATCCGTGTTTGAAAGGGCCGAATACAAAATAAGAAAGCCTTGAGCCATAGGCCCAATTCTTGGTTGGGGGCCAGGGGGCTGCCAGGGTGAGGGTCTAGGGAGAGAAGCTCTGGCGCCTATAACCCTTTATAACTCGTATCTAATTGATTTTAACTAATGCAATTAACATTTATTTCCACACTACATTTTCAAAATACAGTGGCAGATCCAGACCACCTCAGCCCCACCATGGTTGGGGCTGAGGTAAGAAAATTTATGATTATGGCACCGCTAGTTGTCCGGAAATGGCACTCTCAGATTCAATTTGAATATAATTTTCATTTTTCTTCACTTTCAAATTTTGAAAAAAAAAATAAGGAGGGTGGGCCGACGTGGCCCCTTCAATCTGCCACAGAAATAGCCCTACTCATCATTAAAAAGTTTAAAAATTTATTCTGGTGATCATAATTATGCCTGCATATATATTTCGTGCAAACTAACATTCATAAAAATAATGATTTATTATTTACTGATTTAATAGCTTGTGATATATTCAAACCATGAAAAACAAATACAATAAACTTAAAACAGTCATTAATTTAATCTCTTTGAATGTAGTACTTTTAAAATCAATCAAGAGGTTTTTCCTTTTCTCCTCTTTTCGAATTTCAATTTTTTCAAGTAAATTGGGACTACACTATTGTGAGTGGAAATACTGCCGTCTAATTTACGATCAAACAGGACTAGGGAGATAGGAAGCACACAGAACATTAAGCATTTTGATTTCACAAACATGGAGGTGATTTACTTAATTTATCATTATCAGTGGCGCCAGGAAAGCGAAATAAAGAGGAACAGGGAGAAACTAGATCACCTCGGCCCCACCGTGTTTTGGGCTGAGGATAAGAAAATTTATTATTATGACGCCACTAGATGGCCAGAAATGGTTCTCTCAGACCTGAATTCTAAAAATAATTTTCCTTGGTTTTCCCCATTTTCTTAATAATTTTGAAAAATTTAGGAGGGGGTGGGGGCGAGTGGGTCGACTCGGCCCCACTTGAATCCGCCACTGATTATTATGACATCATTGCGAGATTGCGTCAACGTAACACTGGAGTTACATTGGTGCAAGCTTGTGATATCACTATTTAAATAAATCGCAATAGATAGATAGACCTGTACATGTCAAAGGCTCTGTATAATTATTGTTTAATGTAATAACGGCTATATAAAATTCAGTTGATTAACTATATTTTTTTTAATTAGGAAAAACCATAATCTATGTTTTTTTTTGTTTTTGTTTTTGTTTTTTATTTATTTATTGGCCTAATAAGTTTACAGATTTTGAGGCAAACGTCAATGAAATTTGATAATTCAGGGGATGAGGCACGTTTCTACTTCGATCTGCGCTGTGTTTGCTGTCGGTGTAAATGGTATAACTGGAAATCTACTAGGACTTCTATCTTCAGTGTAAATATCACTCTGAATTTATTATAAATACCTATACAGTATATCCAAAAAAAAAGATAGGGCCTACAGTTTTTGGTCGCGTGAAATACAGACAAACCTGGAACAAGCATAGGCATAATATTAAGCCTATATCATGATCTAACATTTCGAAAATATTTGATGTTTTGTATGATGTTTTAAACCAAACTTTTTATTCACACCAGCGGCTGATTCGACAGAGGGGTCCCAGGGAGGGACTTTGACCGATGGGGAGTCTAGAGCACCTCAGCCCCACCCTGATTTTGGTGAGGTAAAACAATTTATAATTATGAAACCTCTAGATGGCGAACTTTATTATAATTCTCCTTTCTTCTCTTTTTTTTATAATTTTGGGGGTGGGGGAGGAGCGGCCCCTGAATCCGCCACTGGTTGTGCATTGAAACCTACTTGCTGGAAAACCTGTGACAATGCCGATAGGTCTCTATACGTTCTAGAGGTATGACAGTCACCTTGTCAGCGATGGTTCGAATCTCGCTGGAGACATTTAACTGTATGTTATCGACGGCTATGTCAATTTTGTAACATAATTTTTTCCTGAAATTGGGCACTCTCATTGAAATTTACCTATTTATTTGTATTTATATATGTTCAGTGCTACACAGCATCCTTTGATTAATACCAGTCGTACACATCTACCTGATGAATGTAGTACTAACGAAACAAATTTGAAGTGGAATGAAAATATAAAGTAAACGAGTTTATATTTTTTTCTTTTTTCGCTCTACTGTTCTTCTGTATTTTGGAGCACTCTCCTCCTGATGATATTTCTTATCATAGGAAAAAGAAGAGCACAGTATGTTGGAAAGCCAAGTAAAATGAAATAAAATCAAATACCGTGTCTATTCGAACAAACATATCCCGGAACGTTTATTGTTGAGAAGGGTTTTTGAGGGGCGATTATTCGGTAGAGGGGGTTATTACTTGTCAGTGGTGTAGAATTATATAACGCCCCTTAATTTCACTGGGGTGTTTATTCGAGTGTGGCATTTCCAATTGAGGCTCTGAAGGGGTGTTGTTTTTTTCGAGGGGGCGTTTATTAAAAAAACGAGGCGTTTTAAAACGTTACAACAATCCGTCAACCAATCACATTCATTGAAGAACTACTGTTAGGCCTATGTAATAGAAAGTGGTTTTGTGGGCCAAGACCGTAACTTTATGCAGAAGTAAAAGAAAAAAAAACACACAAATAGAGATGCGTCTTTAAGAATTGAGTTTATTATTTCAAACAACACAGCAATGCATTGCATCATTCCAAACAAATTTAGAGAAGTGCATTTTTAAAAAGATAACACATGACCATTAACATAAGGAAAGCGTAAAAGACTATTAGAAGTATAGTCGAAATATTCATTGCAATTACATCCTGTGGTTTCTGGATTTGAATCCTATATGAAAATGGCACAAGAAAATATAATAAATCCCGTGATTAAAAGTCAAATCTAGTATGAAATTACGGGAAAAAAAATCAAAATATCCAATGATTAGTAACACACACAGTGGGCCTATCGGCCCTATACCGATATCAATTTTAATGATCAAGAAATTAAAAACTGTTCCTTTTAGCGCTCAAAAGTTGTCAAAAATTAATTTTTAATGAAATATTGTTATTTTGAATCCATTTTGAAAAAGAAATAGTGAAACGATAAAAAAAAAAAGTGTCCCCTTAATGGATTGAAAATTGTACTGATTTGACCATTTGGTACATTCAGAAAGCGTCTCCGTCCCCTTAGTAGGGACGTCCCCTTAATAGAGGTTACCATAATTGTTAACACTACAGATTCCAATCGTTTCACGGAAAAGTTTTCTTTGATATTTTTTATCTTATAACTGTGTGTTACATTATTCACAATGTTGTATTTTTATTTTTTTGATTAAATGACAAGATAAGTTTTACTCATTAATGACTTTTAGTATTACTAGGCCAACTCAGGCTGGTATTCTGGCCTAAGGCTTATCTTCTTCGAACAGAGCATTAACTTCCACTGCCGACAAAGTTGTATTGTAAAGCTTAACTTCATCGATGAGGCCAACAAAAAACTCATTAGTTGTTCCTACCCCAGCCTGTCCAATCGTCACAGGATTAGGCTTCACCTGTATGGATCCAGAGCAACAGTCATTATCACCCGTTTGCATCTGTCCGTCCAAATAAAATAGAAGCGTCTCGCCATCATACGTCATCACAACATAATGCCAATAATTAACAGATGCTCTCAAATTGCTGTAGTTCCAGGTTATGGAGCTGTCGCTAGTTATCACTCCTCCGCCAAGCATCTCACCCGAAAATTCACGTCCCATCCGAATCTCCCAGCTTCCAGTGCTGTAGTAACCACTATTGACAATACCTTGATAATTTGACGTGCTGGTCCGCTTGAACCATGCACTGACAGTAAAAGCCGATCCAAAATTGAAGTTACGAAAACCGTCCACAATGACTTTAATGCTCCCGTCGAATTTACCAGCCTGGTTTTTCACTCCGTTCTCAAACGTCAAAGTTCCACCAGAAACGGCTCCGTTACGCTCATTCCCAGAGTGGTCTAAGATATCCTCATCGAAGGGGTAGTATCCAATAAGATGACTTTGCAACATGTCTTCAGTTGCGTACTTGTTGCAGAGATATTTTACCGCATCTTTTAGACAAGGGCATTGTCCGTGTTTTTTCACGGGAGTATTGAAGACGTAGGCACATTGAGAGTCGTCGGTACAAGAGAGTTGGCCATTCAATATTTGGTTGCACCACACCACACTTAGAGTGGTCAGAACCATTAAAGTAGCATACATCTTCATGTTAAATACCTAAAGAACGCTATATGGCCTACTTCTTAAATGAATAGATAAAAGCAAGAGTGATTATAATGTATACTGAACCAGGTACCTGTGTCCGGGTTCTTTTCCGTTTCCGTTTCTATCCTTCCATATTTGGTAACATTCGAGAAAAGTGTTTCACCGTCCGGGAATCTCATCACAATAGAAAAGAACAAGCCTTGAATATTTAAATTACATTGTAGACTTAACAACTTCGAACAAGATTATTAACTTCCGCTGTCGATAAATTTACCCTCGTATATTTTAACTTCATAAATAAATCCAACAAACATCTCACCAGTCTTTCTAACCCCAACATGACCATGATAGAATATA